GCAACAGTTGTAGGTTCTGCCATTGACAAGAGTTCAGGGTGAAGTGTAATGACCAGGGTTTTGTAGTGGAAGTGAAACCTGGATACACTGACAACGGTCGTAGTATCATTATATTTGCTTGTCTACTAGAATAAATAAATTACCGCTATTTCCGAATCCGGATAATGGTCGGTCATAGGGATAGCTAACTTCAACTGAACTAGTTGTAGCCGGAATAACGCCAGTTTTTGTATTATCTTTTCCTCCCTCCATATCATTTCTTTAATTTACTTTTTGTCCTACTTTTTACATTATTTAAATCCCATCCTTTTGTTATTTACGTATTAATTTTTTTTATATTCTATACCCAGTTAAAAGAAATGTACGAGTTATCGGCGATGAGAAAAAACCTTTCACTTTATGATATATATTTATCTATGTATACATGTGGTACATAACCGTTTACTATTATTATTATTATTATTTATATACCGGTATATTACTTATTCAAATCACAAATCAAATAAATAATCATCCCACAGCACCTGGTCAGGGGGTACGCTACTTGGACAGTTGTGTTTATGTCATTTACCACCGTCGAACAGTACCGATTAAAGGTCGAAACGGGCCGCCCTTATCATTATCTGTTGGGAATTTTACGTGTCTATACTACCGCTTTTTATATTACGTATTAACCTTATATTTGTAAACACTTGTGAATAAAATTTCACCTGAAAAAAAATGTAAGTATACAAGTGTGGACACAAACCCTTGAGCGAAACTTACAATAATCCCTAAAACAAGTTACCTTTTACAAGTACGTATTAGTCGTGACAAACTTCGACATGATACAGTTGTGTACAAATTAGCTAACGCAAAAACACATTTATAACCCGTCAACGCAAAGTATAATGGTGTTGGTGTTAGATAACATTATTGAACAAACCGCGAAGGTTAACTCAAAAAAGCGTTGTTCGTCAGGATTTTTTACATGTAACGTGTTTTGAAAACGGAAGAGCAATAAACGTTTATGGCATATTACGTAGTAAAGATAGAGAGTCTTAAACATAACTTACTTGTACATTTAAACAAAACCGGTGTAATTCCCTATAAAAATTGAGTTTGGTCAATTGTATACATGAAAAGATTAAGACGGTAAGTGTTAAAATCTGTCTTAGCGGTCTAATACTACCCTCACGTCTCTTAAGGTTCAAGTATCCAAAGTCGGAGTTATATAAACCCCTCTTAGAAGGATAAGGTTAGGGTTTTTGATAAAAGGTAGATGAGGTGGGAGAACCTGGGGGTTTGGGGAAGGGGGGAGGAGGGAAGACAGTTCGCTGACAACAATTGGGTGACAACTTTTTTTCCAACTACTATAAGCGAGAAGAAAAGGACTGAGTGGAATGAGTGTGATCATTCCACAAGTCAACCACACGCAGGCTGAAAAAGTTGCGGCGGATAGCCAGTCTTGAGTACTGTTTCTTCAACTTGAGGCAGTGTCCACGAGTCCTGGTGTTATAATCCCGTTGTAGTGGGCATGATGTTTTGTAGATGTTGTGGAGCTATTTGAAAACTTCGATCATATCTCCCCTCGCCCTTCTATAATACATACTCGGGATCTTAAGACTTTGCAGTCGTTCTCTTTCCCCATTCAGCATTTTCTCCATGAGCTGAGATGGCTTGCTGTCTCCTAGGCCTTGAATGTCAAGAATCTGGCGGGCCCTCTCCTTAGCAGATAAGCTAAATGTCTTAAGGAGAAGGGCCTTAATCGCCTCATATTTGCCATGGCGTGGGGGGTCTGCGATAAATCCCACCAACCTGGATGACGTGGAGCTTCCCATCGCTGCTACCACATGAAAATATTTCAGGTCCCCGTCACGGACTTGCCGGCAGGCAAAGTTTGCCTCCACGTGTGCGAACCACGCCGCATGCTCCCAAAACTCCGGCAGTTTAACAAAAACATCGCGATCAGCCATGTTGATTAAGTCTTCGGAAACTTTCACGAAAACGTCAGGATCACCAGTGGAGAGCCGATGAAAGGGAGTCAGAGACGGTGTGTTCAGTATGGAACTCCACACTTTATTATCCATTAATCAAGACAAGGTAAGTACATGTGCTGCTCTGTATGACAAGCTAGCATGAATGACACCAAACCCCGGTACCCTCACTAACGGGTCCGGGTTGCAACACAATGATCCCAACAGTGAATTATGTCCCATAACGTGTCACCACACAATGCTATTTTCTATTTAGAACGAAGACTTCAGAATCTTAAAATCCCTTAACGTTTGTATGCAATTGTGCTAAATTCAACACTGGAATCAAGCAAATATGAATATCTTTGCATGACATTAGTTATTTCTATTTTGCCATCACTTAATTATACGTTTAATACATTTAAGTCAAGCTAAGGTACATGTGATGTACAGAATTGACCAGTTCCAAAAACAGCCTGTAGTTTTTCACCAAAGGTTAATAGCAGTGGAATACTAAGTGGTTTTCAAAGAGATGAAATAATAACTATGATGTCAGACTGAAAGCCAATAGGATCGGGGGTCTGGAGAAATGTAACCTTTTGCTTTTTCCTGTGTGTGGGATTTGCAGTGTTGGCTGATAATGATTCTGTATTCTTCAGAATGTGCAGGAATATATGACGTTTGACTCAAATGTCAATCTTCTTTTTCTCAAAAGATATACAATGACCTTTAAAGAGTTTACATAATAAAGTCCCTATTTCCTCCATCACCATCTCTTTCTGCTCCTTCCTCCTAACACTATTAGTTGTCTATCATCTTCCCTCATCCTCCCTCTTTCCTCTTTTCTCAAAAGTAAAGTAGAGTGTGTTTTAGGGTCACATCAGGTAAGAAATGTTAGAAAGCAACAGGTGGTAGAGGTATTAAAAGCATTTGAGGATGTCTTCTCAACCCTTCCTGTGTTTTTGAAAAGGTTTGACCTATGACCTCCTCTATATTCATGTTGCATAAAGGAGTGGAGAAAGGAATGCTTGTGACCACCTACTTCCACACTTGTTTTCACACAAACTATTTTGGGATGTGTTTGCATTTCATCCAGAGTTAATCAAACTCCCTGTTGTTGTTGTTGGCTGTCCTTTCTTTTTAATAAGGTGAGACGCTACAGGCATAAACAAGTTTTTCATGCAGTTTATTTTCATCTTCAGTCTAGTTAAATGACTTGTGTTGGTCTATTTGTGTCTGTATACATTTATCTTAAATTCACCAAAAGAAGGCCTAAAATGATGACCCATTTGCATTATGACACATACAATGTCAGAGAAAAAAATATACAACACATACTAGGAAATTGTATACTCATATATATATATTTTCCCTTATTCACCTGTAGTGTATTGAAGTTCTTTAAATACGTTTTTTTATACAATAAACCATTAATCTTCACTTCAGTTGCACTTACTTACACAAGATCATTTGTATTCCTATCTTCTTAAGGGATCTACAGACGGGTGTTCATATATTAATGATAATCCTGATTTATATGACGTTAACTTACACCCCAAAGCATGATAAAAATAGATTATTATTATGTTGAAAGTATTTTACTAATGGTCAAGTGATGCTTATGCTAATTGTTATGTTCATATTTGTATGTTGTGCCTCTACTGTGACATGTTTACAGTATATGCTTTAATGTTCAAAAGCTCTTTATTTTTCTCATACTGCCTGTGCTGCAGCACCTCTTTTCACCGTCCGTCTGAAACCAGAGCCCAGTCTCTTCTGATTGGTTAGTTGGCCGGCTCTGTTAATTGGTCCACCACTAAGAGATGTCCTGCCCCCTGAGTGTGCCGGAGAGAAACTCCCTCTGGAGGGAACACAGGTATTTTAGCCTTTGCAGACCATTTACATGGACAAAAACCTATATCACACACTACAGGAAAAGGAAAACCCCCAAAACCATAATAGGGTCCCTGTAACTACACCTGTGATACTACAACACATATGAGTGACCTGCAAGTATTGTCAAAAAATTAAAAAAGATTATAAGGATAAATACAAAAAAAATCCTAAATATGATTAATAGAACATTTTAGAATACTTCTTCCTTATCCAGAGGTAGAAAAAAAAATACATGTAGGCAGTTTAATAATTGGAGCGTGTGTGAGCATGTTAGAGTTTCTAAATGTGCGAGGGAAGGTTTGTGTGTGTTCCCACGGTCTGGGCAAGGCAAAGAGAAAACTTGGTTCTTGTGTCAGATTGTGTGCTAAGTTTGAAAGGCAATACTGCAGTGTATCAGGGAGTATGTGAGTGTGTGTGGCTTCAGGCCATCTGGAAAACAATTCCCCAAACCACACCCATCTTCCCGGCTTCCGTCACTCACCTTAGCCCATTTGTCCTTATAAGGTCATACCGGCAGCTCGGCTGGTGATTGGACGGAAAAAACACACAATTTGATTAAAGCACACACATTTAGAGGCTGGCAAACCCACACCCCCACAGACTGCTTGATACTAATCTTATCTCTGTATGCTTTTATACTGAGTGTGACTGCTTCTAATAATGCCATTGAGTGAACACAATAACTATATTTGACTGTGTATTTAATTCTCAATAATTGTGTTCGATATTCCTTTCTAAAGCAAGCTTGGTTGTGATTTTAAAGACCGGAGTTGTAAAAACAAAAAAAACTTTAAAAAACAATAAAAGTCAGGAGTTATAAAGTTGTGTCACACACACACACTTCTGGCACCTGTCCTGTCTAGACATGCTGCTAATAAAATCCTGCAAAAACACACAGTGCATACCTGACTCTGCACACCCACAACACTGTTTGTTTATGTGTTGTCAGAACCTGGAGGACTGTTTCAATAAAAATGGGATACTGAGATGTCCCAAAAAAATCCCGAGCTAAAAAACATCATTAATGCATAAAAAGTGGGAAAGAAACTGTAATTTCTAACAAGTTGTTGCATTGAGTTGTTGACTGGAGAAACAGCGACCTCTAGCTGTCAAACAAAGCATTACAGGAGGTTTGGAATATGTTGTTACATACATTAGTTTATTAACACACAGATAATGAAACACACTATGAAATTGTGAGATGTTTGTATCAATGGATGGGCCCAGAGGTCTCCTTCAGCCTGAGGACTCTCCTGTCGACTCCAGCTCAGATAAAACGGCTCTGGATGGGACGGAAAAAAAGAAAAAAGATAGTGTCAGAAAAAGCAATCCGAATCATAAAACATATGATGTTTGTCTGTGTACTGTCTAGAAATGTTTTAAATAAATTCAAATAAATAATCTATCATTGTTAAAATGGCCGATATTGTCTGTAGAATTACAGTTATCGTTATAGGGAACAACATTTGAAAACTTATTTTTCTTTAAGTTTCCTGTCATTTGTTAATAAAAGGACAAATGTTTCCACTTAAACGTGTTTCCTGCTCTCCTAGTTTAACTCCCTCCTCCTCCTCCTCCTCCTCCTCCTCCTCACCTCTGCTCCTCGGTCAGATCTAACTCAGCCAGGGTTCTCTTGGCCAGTTTGGGTGTAGCAGACAGACAGAAGGCTGCAGACAGCTGGACCAGCTCCACGGCTCTCTGAGAGGAACCATCGCTGCAGCACACCGACAGGAAGTCCTCCAGCAGCGGCTCTCTGCAGGGGAACACGGCAGGGAACCAGGGCATGAACCAGGGCAGGACGATGTGGAGAGAATCACAACATCACTATCCATGGATTCTGTGTCCATATTGTACGTGACCATTGATTGCTCCCACCACACTTTTAGATCATGAGAATTTTGATAAATAATGATCAGTTATTCACAATATTACATCACTTGACGGTAATGCAGCCTTTAATATATATGTCTGTCTGCTTGTTATGTTTATGTACATATTGTTATTCTATTTTTATTTCTTCTTTTTAATGGGACACTTGACTAATGTAAAGCACTTGTGCTATTTACAAAATCTAACCTTTATCACAGCCTTATGACAAATATGTTTTTTCTATGTGTAATAACCATTTAGAGGTTATTCATAAACATTTTCCATGATGGTATTTTTCAAAAATGTAAATGACCAGTATATATTTGTTGTTATATGTAAATTGATGCCATACATTGGCGCTCTGTGGTCACACACACGATGTACACTGAAAGAAATTTGAAAAATTGACTTAAATTAATGTATTATGTAAACAAATTACTCATAATTGTAATAGGTTATTTGAAAGCAATAATATTAAGTAGTATTGCTTTCAACTAACCTCACTTAAATTAAAGTCAATGTTGAACATTTTCAGTTTAAAGAGATGTTCCCCTTTCTAAATCAGACATCTGTGTTTATATTTGTTGAAGTGACTCACTTTGGAACTCTGTTCTTGGATTTGAAGAGCTTCAGCATCTCCCTGCAGACACAGAGAGAAAAGTCAATTCACAATCCTTTAAGGCCCTGACACACCTACCCGATTTTGGGAGTCAGAGGCCGTCAGAGGCAGTCGGGCATTCGCGGCGCCCTACTCAGGTTGGTGTGTCCCGCATCGTCGTGGCTTTACGGCACATTTTCACACTTCCCACGGCCGATTCAACATGTTGAATCGGCCAAAGAAAGTCGGCCAAAGAAATCACTCTGATTGGCTGTTGCCTCTCTTGAATGACGAATACACACTACCGCTGACTGCTGGTAAGGAAAGTTATTGCCACTCGTCGACTGAAGTCTTTGCGCTGTGTTCCTAGGCGGGCGACGTAGCGGACGTAAAAGTCTTTGGTACGCGTTCTTTGGTCTCAGGTTGGTGTGTAGCGGCCTTTAGGCAGTGAAAGCTCTCCTGTGATTGACAGATATATACACAG